CACAGTACATCCGGCTTACACGTGAAAAACCTCGCGGTGGATGGCTTTCCTTTCTGAATACACAGGTCAGCTTATGTGACAATACCGTTCGCATAAAATGGTACAGAAAGGAAGGCTCTAGAAACATCATCTTACACGCTACGTCAGCTCACCCCTCAGCAGTTAAACATGCTGTTATACATAACATGTTCAAAACTGCTACCGAAATGTGTACAGGCGATGACGAGCGACGAGAGTCACGAAAATTGGCGGCTGACATTGCACTCAGTAATGGCTATATGCTTGGTACAGGACGATCACGTAAAAGACAGTCTAACTGTTGTGAATGTGTTAGTCTTACGGAGCGCAACAAGAACAACAAAATTCCTTTGTGCATACCCTTTGTTTCCGATAGAATCAGCCAGGCCATAAGACAATGCATTCTGCGAGCACAGTTGCAAAATGAAGTCATGCTGATTGACATTCCTAGCGATAATATCAAAAGGCGGTTGGTCAGAAATAGAATTTATGATGTTGAATGTGTATCAAAGAACTGCATAGTCTGTCCTAACGGGAAAATTGGGGACTGCGCCAAATCCGGAACTGTCTACCAATTAGAATGCTTGAGTTGCAGAACAGCGTACATTGGAGAGACGGGTAGACCTTTGAGTACTAGAGTAAGCGAGCATTTGGCCAACATGAGGCGAGGAAATCTATTGTCTCCGTTAGGCAAGCATAAATTTGAAGAGCACGGCGGCAATGATTTTAGCGTTAAATGTGTCATCCTAGCGTTTGAGACTGACATTCAAGCATGAAAAACCCTTGAAGCGGCGTGGATATACTCTCGTAATCCGAGTATGAACAACAGAAATGAATGTCTGACGATAACGAGTGATCTACTACCACTGATATCATTGTGTGAGCTCGATACCGCACACTATAAGTAGCAGGACTCACTGGGCACAACTCAGTGATGTCCGTCACACTGATCTAGTGCGGACTACTGACTCTTTGGTGGACCGAAGGTTCGTTTGCCCTCGTTTGATGTTCCCAGTACGTTGCGTCTGAGAAAACGTCAAGCAAAGCGGACTCAGACGAGATGTTTGGCGGCACAGTACAACGGGTACGTAAACTACAATCCTTTTCAGACCTCCGACGAAGACGAGTTGTTCGAAACGTTAGGTCGATAAAGATCCACCATACCAACCTGTGCGGCATAAGAAATATTAGAACATCAAACTTACAGTCGAAGATGCCCAGGTTTCAAGATGAGAACACATGGAAAATTCTTACCTGTAACGGTTCACAAGCACACTGCTTATGAATATGATGCTCACTCGCTGTCATAACTCATTATTTTGAAGTTATGGTGACTTGCAGGGTTTGAATGGACATTTTTTTGCTTTCGGACAAATTTAGATCCCAGTTCACGAAATGGGAAGACGGTTGTTTTGCATGGCGGTCTCCAGCGCCATCCTGATAAGCTGTCCCAACGTGTAGCACACGCGACAAATCTCCCTCCCCCTGTTTTTGCTTTGGCAAAAGCCGCCGAAGTGTGTATCTCGCGCGGCAGTGGCCCCATTAGGAAAGCATTACGGTCGTGGGAAACTTTTCTATCACACGAATTGCCATTGTCGTGGGGATTAAGCACAACATTTTTGAAACAGCACTTTAGGTGACTCCCTGCCAAGGTTTCAGGCAGGTTCATGATTTTTACCCGCCACGCGAAATTACTACGATATCCGTCATTAGCGGCTTGAATAACCCCCATATACCGAGTTCGAGCAAGACCCACCACAAAAACATTTTGGGGTCCGGGTAGCCGAATAACGCCATCAGTTTTTAGAATTATCCTTACTTTTATCGATTTTATTGTTGAGGAAGGTAGGTAAGCATACTGATTGCTAACACAGGGGAATAGGGTATTGCATGTAGAAGTGGGCACAGGTAAAGGTGTGCAGGAATAGAAATGGAACCTTTATCGTTTTCGACAGGGCCGGGCGGAGCCGGGTATGCCAGCTAGCATGTTATATAAAGCACAATAAGCGCAGTTGACTCACCTTTGGAACAAAGTTAATCATGTTCGAATATGACTATATATCAGGTGGCTCAGTATCTGGAAATTTCAAAGATCGCTCAAACTTGGTCCATAGAGGTCATTTCACTTGTTAATCATGGAAAATAGCTATAAATATCATGGCTTGGTAGGGCATCTTCATTATGCTCCTGTAAGTATACAATGACGAGTCGAGGTCTCATGCCTTCCTATTTCGCATCAAGGAGTTATCTGGCAAACTGTTTGCGAATATCATGCTCTTTTAAAATCGCTCTTTATCAGTCATAGTCCATTACAACCCCTTCTCTTTTTGACTCCTCAACACGACCTCCAGGCTAGATGTGGCGTGTCATACCCCCACGCTTACCCTGATCATAATCCGTGTAAAGTCTGGATTAAAAATCTAAAGACAAGTGTCCAAAACTCAAACTTTTCAGAAAAATCCTATCAGGTCCCACTTGCTCATTACATAGTAGGAATATACTCAAATTTGACTATATACTTGCTTTATTTTTTTCATGGGTAAAAACCACGACAATTGGAATTGCCATGCTCTTGCGCAGCTCCAGACTCAGATAATCGCTTCTAGTCTACGGTTTGAGAAATACAGAATTTGACAGAATATTTATGGAGTGAAGATTTCAAAATTGCAACTTTTGTTTTTGAATCTTTTGACCTGAGCCACAAGAAATCAGCAAGTGCATGAAGAGTGTTGCACGGGGTATCTCCATGAACAAGCGGAAGGTAATTGCCTGACGGCAATCACCGATTTACTATTCTTTAATGGCGGGAAAAGAAGAGGCCGGTTGCGAGCTTACAGCGAAGTATGAAAGGGGCGGAAAAGAATGAGCATCGAGCAGAGAGGTTCACAGGCAGCTCAAAAGAGGTGACCAGGAGAAAGCCACACCTCCACAAGTATCGGCCGAGTAGAATCCGAGCACTGACCGTGGTTAGCCCTGCCGAAGGGTTAAATCGGAGGATTCTCAATGCTGTTATAGTTTGTACTTTTTGCGGATTGCTTCAGAGTTTTGTTGTTTTCCTGTAACTGGAATAGACGATATTCTTTGTACGAAATAAAAGAGTGAAAGACCAGAATAGACTACAAGAATGCTCACTAGATAGTCGAACAAGCGTTCACAAGCGTTGTTCCATCAAACGTTTCTTGAATGCAAAACACTAAATCCTCAAAAATTCAGATATTTGAGCTCTTTACTTTTATCAGAGAGGAAAAAGGAAAGGAAAGCTGGTTTAAAATAAACTCAAAGCACTTTTGAATATGCTTCTCCTTCGATTTTCCTATGCGGTCCAAGGAGATTTTGCCCATTTATATCAACTGCTAACGGCCCTAAGACAGGTGCTCAGTTGAGATTGCGCGTAGCTTTAAGTGCGATTTCATCTCCTGTTTTAGAAAGGCTTGGTACGTGGAGAATCGAAAATTGAAAGAACACTATGTATTTTTTTACCATTAACACTATCCAAAACGTGAAACCGAAGCACAACAATATGCTGCAGTTTGCTTTTCTCATTGCTCAATCAGTATCAAGCGAGAATCGCATTCTAAACAAGGCTATCTGAACTTAACCTAGAGTAGGTGCAACTGGAGATTAGGATTCGCTTCTATGAATGCGTAGCTCAAGAAAATACAATACCAAACCTAAATCTACCAGCAAGACCACAGTTGCTTGGTGCTCCTCTTTCAAAGTGCAAAATTCATTTCAGCAATGAAAATGCTCTCCGAAATGAGGTTTTAGCCAAAAATTCATACAAATTCTATGGAAACAAGATTTTTCGAGGAACATAAATTGTTTTGAGGGAATTTCGTTCTGCTCCAGTAAACGCTAGCTCAGAAAAAATCATCAAATAACATCTAACAGGCGAGACCACAGTCTTCTTGCGTGTCTTCTCTTTTATTTCTCTCTCATTTTTTGTTTTGTACGTAAATTGCTATGAACTTGCATCAGAGGCTCTTGAGAAATTAATTGAGCAGTAATGGTCTTCACGGTTAAAGGACGAGTCAAAATATAGTTTAGAGTTTTTTACACGGTTCAGATAGAGTATGACGTACATAGTCGCATGCGATTTTCAAAGTCGCTCTCAATCTCGCGAAGCTATTCACGAGCCGTGCGCACTGTCGATTTAGAAAAGAGTCTTGGATGTACAGTAATTCCCACACACTGCTGCCAAATGCGCCACAATCGATATACGATCCGAAAAGCACTTTCTCGTTACGCGCAACTCTGCGCGTCTAAATTGGGACCACAGCTCTCAAATTCTCATGCACAAAATTTGCGAGGCAGCGCGATGTCTCGCGCGCTCGAAACGTCTCCAATTACTTTCCTGGGCAACGTAAAAGGGGCGTCAGGCGGGGACGAAAGGGCATTTGCCGTTTTATGAGACGGATCCAACTTATATGTGAAAAAGGTTGAACAATTTCTGCTAATGCTGAAGTACCTTCTATAAGGAGTACTTATAATGCAGCTGTAGAAAAATTGTAAAGGTGCGTTGGGCTTTATTTGCGGTCCTAAATAACCGCAAATATGCGCTCGATCGTTTGTAATCTGCCAATCTTGTAACCTGTAATTCTACTAAGGATCATCTGTAATTGTTCACATAGATGGTTGGATTTGGCTTCGCCTTTTCAAAGATATAGTAGGCGCAAAAATGCATAAGTAACCTCGACGTTTAGTAAAGCAAACCAATCCTGTTATGTGAACATTGCTGAAAGACTGTAACTCAACTTATGCTAAGTTTTTTTCTCTTTTTTTAAGACAGCACAATCTGAATTTTCTTGTTAAATGCCTTCTTTGTGCCTAATTTGTCTTCGGCCATCAAAAGTGAGAAAAATAGTTTTCGAAAAATACACTCGCCACCGCAATAAAGTTTTCTTTTATGTTCGGAAACGAACTAGGAGTCAAAGGGACTGCATAACCAATCTTGTGTTTTTTGAAATACCACGCATGTATGATTACATTTGTACCCAGTTTTTGAGTATGTCAGCATCACTAACCTCTGCCAGTCTTGCGTCATATGTCTTAGCTGCTTTTACGGCAATGGCTTCAGCTGAAGTCTGCTCGCTAGATAAAACATGATCCAAGGTGCCATTATAAGAAGGCGTAAAACTCACGTGTAATTAACGGGTACACAATCCGGGGTTTTCACTGAAAAGCATAGTTGAGCTTCATACGCTCTCGGCTCAAACCACGTCTGTAAATACGAAGCTTTAATACAGTAATATCTGACATTCTCAAAGCACTATGCTTCCAAGTTTGGAACAGCATTCACTATCCTCTGTATCTCCAAAGCAAATGAAATTCTCCAAATCAAGTATGACTAACCATATTTTCGAGCTTCCCATACTTTACCCTTGCAAATCCAAAGTACGTTGCCAGCGTCTGCCTGTATTTTATTTGTGGCTCATGTAGACTGTTTTGACAGAACTCCACTGCTGTCATATTTCCAAAGCCTGAGGCTACACTCGGAGCAAACAATGTCTAAAGTTATACAACTGTTGATGCTGAAAAGGCCTTAATGATATTGAAAGAACATTAATTACCGCAAAGACGACGAAACGCAGGCTCATCTCGAATAACTTGCTGCATGAACTCACGTTTTATATACTGGTGTCGACGTCGTGCAGATAATTCAGAAATTGCAGCGTATTATGAACTTTAATCATAACTTTTCAGAACTTGCCTTTAATTAGGATGTGTATATTCAGACTTTCAATAATGTTAGCATTGGCACTTTACTTCCATTCTTGCTTCGCAGATGGAAGTCAAGGTTACATCACAGGTTGTTATTTTGTGCTAGTACTTTTAAAATGCCCTTCGTTGCTGGAATTGATTATTATAGGTTTGCAATGTAGGTGTACTCAAAACGTTTTGGTTTATAATCGATCGCGCTAAGGACAGTGCTGCGGATCTCCAATCTATCGGTCGAAAACATGAACAGCAACAGTCTACGTCCGTTCAAATCCGGTGCAGTCTTGGTTCAGCTGGTAAATTAATTTTGTTCACATCGAATACATGTTCCTAGTCGGATCAATAAAATTAGCTCTATCAGTGTAATTTACAGGTTTATGGAAATCGAAAGCTAAAATTTTCCATAAGTTTACACACACGTGTAAATCGCCTTATCTGTTTTTTTTGCATCTTCATTTCTTACTTATCTCTTTATTTCTTTATCCCTTTATTCCTCGTGAGGCCCTCTGCTCATGTCCTCTTATCAGGCTACAATGAAGTTTATTTACAATTCCTCGTTGTTAATGTTGGTGATCGCTTTTACGTCTTATGATATAGCCGAATTTAAGAATTTTTAGGGTTGCAGTAATTGGTCAAAAACAATGACTAGTTGCGATTCGCTTGGCTGAGAGTTGGCTGACTTGCGCAAGAGTCACTTTTGATGGCAAAACCGATAAAATAGTGTTACAGACGGTGTGACACAAGCACTTTTAGCGAAATCTCAGACTTAACATAACTTAATAATGCGATCTTGTAGTCTCTTTTCCTTTCGTCAGCGTTATTACGAATTGATTTGATGTTGTTTTTGTTTGTTTGTGTGTTGATGTTGTTTTTGTTTGTTTGTGATGTTTTTTGCATTAGCAATTTATCTTAAAAGACTGCCATTTGAATCGAGGGTGTGCCGCAAAGATAGATTTCGAAGCCAGAAAGTTGCCCGCAAGGTAGAAGGGTCAATGGCTCCGCTCAAAACATGGTTAGCCATAAACTAAAGAGTTCGAGAATAAACTTCAGTATGTGGAAATGTTGAAAGTGAGATAATCGTAAAGAATGGCGAATTTATGACAGTTCTATTCACAGGGGGTCTCAAAAAAATGTATACACTATTTGATCGTCAATATCTCTCTTCCTAAGAAGTTTTTTGCTTTCCTTCAAAACCATTTTGTGGAGCTGGCTTTAATTTAGATTTACGGTATAAAGCGAACCACCGATCTCTCTTCATTAATGTAGGATTACGGTAGGAAATTTGGCTTACAGCGTCATTGTGGATTACTAGTGTTTCAAAAAAGTTCTCAAAGACTTTAAAAAGTGGTACTTGACAAACGTTACGCGCGGAGATTTCATTCCTCATCTTTCTGAGAGTCCATAAAGCTTTTAGATGATGTAATCACAGTATCAAGAAGCATTGCGTTTACCTGGCATAAATTATGAAGGAAGCACTGCGATAAGATGCAGACTTCGCACTTTGTTTCAGCGATCTCAATTAGTCTAATACAAGAGTTTTCAGTTTATTTGGTTTGCTTTCTGGAATTAAAGACCTTAATAGCTCAAAACCCTTTTTAAAAGTTCTTACCGTAATCCTACAGTAATGAAGAACAGTGGGTGATTTGCTCCATACTGTAAATCCAAGCTGGAACTCGTTTTACAGAATGGTGCTTAAAGTTCGCCGAAAGGCATGAAAGCATGAGAATTTTTAGCGATCAAACAGTGTATACATACTTTTGGAATACCTGTACTTGAAGCCCAATTTCGGACTTCTTTTAACTCCCCCCCCCCCCTCCGTAATAGGCGGAGCCACCTTGGCCGCTGTCACCTTCTGGAGCGACCTTATCTCTTCAAAATTCGTCTTTTGCAGCGGGACGATCACTTGGCTACGGGCTCCGCTACTATAGAGCATCAAAATTTCACCATTCAATCTGTGTAAAATCTATGTTTGAGCAGGGTTTTTTCTCGCACTGACTTATGTTTAGATGAGATTGCATTACTCAAAATATCTCAAGATACATAACGTAGTACTTCAGTGCTGATCTGAGAATTGTTTGAAATTTTTGTGAGAGCGGCGTGTATCGTCTGGAAGCTCTTTTTCTCTTAAATCTTTTTTCAAGAAGCTTCGCTTAATCTTAAAGGCACCGTCCACCCAAAATTTCGATCTCCATGTTTTAGCCGTTTCAGGGCCTTATCATACCCCTGATTACGAATATCAAGTTGAAAATGCGCGAAAATCACGAAAAACCCCGTTCAGAATCCGCAGAGCGATTGCTTCGGTACGGTGATTAACTGGGCGTGCACGGATGGGCGGGACGTCACGCCCACTCCGAAAGGGGAGGAGCCAGCGTCGCGAACGCGGCCTGAAGCGACTTCCGAAGCAATTTTCTCGGTTCGAAAGCAACTTCAGGCAGCGCGAGTTGGGCAATCATACAGTTGGGGGCCCCGCATCTGCTAGGTATCATAATCTTACCAACCCCAATTTGGGTGGACGGTGCCTTTAAGACAATAAAATAACTAATTCCTTTTTTTTTTGTTCTTGTTTCATGGTCGCACAAGCAAAGAATGTATCAAAAGTTGTGTGCATTTCATGAGGACTTATGTTGCATAGTGCTTATCGGGATATGATTTTGAAAACTGCTTAGACCTGCAAATGCAAAGTTGAGGTAAGTCAAACCTCGTGTGAAACTTTGCATACCATCTTGTGGAGCTTGCTTTACTCTATCGAATGGTACCCTAAAGCCCTATTATATTTACGAAATGTACGACTTATCTTCGTAAGAAGTTAAAGTGTAACAAGCCTTATGTAACAATCTAACAGCAAGGCTGGGCTTGACACATTCCATATTAGAATCGAGGGAAGTTTTCAATATTCAGCTAATTTATTAAAAGCTCAAAAGTTTGATTTTTTTTGCCATTTCAAAGAAAGTGCGTTTAGTAATATTGAAATTTTCAATTTAGTCGTCTCTGAGTTTATACCGCTGCTTTTTCGAACACTGGCTACACAATGCACAAAGTTTGTGATATCTACCACAGTACGCATCAACTTATGGTTACTCGAATCAGGTTTCTTTTTAAAAGGATGTTTGGATTGGATTTTGAGCTAGAAAGTTTTCTTCTATTGCTGGGACAATTATTGGGTCACAGAACTGCCAGCAATCTATAGATTGTTATGCGGTTTATTGTACTTCCAGTGATCAGTTTTGAAAACAGTCAAGGGTGCCTTGAAGATAATCTCAAAAAAGGGTAGAACTTTTGATACAGCTCAACATGTACAGGGTGTCCCAAAAAGATGTGTACACCGTTTAATTCTTAATAACTCTTTTGCTTTCATGTCTTTTGCCGAGCTTGAGATAACGTTTTATAGTGCGAGGTTCAATTTAGATCCTTAGTATGGAGCGAGCTATCTGGCTCTCTTCGTTACTGTAGGATTACGGTAGGAGCTTCGAGGAGGTTTTTAAGCCATTGAAAGTGGTATTTTACCTCAGAAAGAGAGGCAAACAAGCCAGAAACTCTTGAAATGGGTTGATCGAAGTCGCTAATTCTTACAAGAAGGATGCATGTCAGTACAGTGTTTTATTCATGAGTTATTTTAGATCTAGGTGGCAACTGATTTTCCGATGTTCGTCAGAAATGTGAATACGCCGCCAAGAAAGTTTGAAAAACTGGTTATGTAGTGAAATTAGCACGCTAAAAAACCTTGCCACACGAATTTTCAGATTTTTTTTTGAAAATATTCCGCAAAACGCCTATTCCACAGTGCCGCTATATGCTAAAAGTTCATGCGTAATCCCACAGTAATGGAGAGTGATGGGTGATTCGCTCCATACTCTAAATCTAAGTTTATCCTCGCTCAGAATGGTGCCTCAAGCTCTGCAAAAGACATGAAATCGAGAGAGTTATCAACGATCAAACAATGTGCACATTTTTTTGGGACACTCTGTATATAAATATCGCATATAAATATATTAAACGATATGTATGTATCAGTGGTCCCAGGATTTCGGAGCGGGGGCGAGGGCGGAAACTTTTTTCAAATGAATGTGCGTAGCGTTAACCATGCACTGCGAAAAAGTTTTGGGCGTGCTTCTCAAAATTTTGAGGGTCCATAACCCTAGAATCTTGAAGAAGGGGGCGTAATGGCAGCCATGCCCTCGAAAAGAATTTTTTCACAAGGCTAATGGAATTCTTAATAAATTTTTAGAATGATTTTAATTATTTACAAGAAAAAACAAGTCACTTGCACATTTCTATAACTCATGTGATCAAGTCTGTCAGGATAAAGGCGTCGACTCCCATTACCTGATGTGTAGCGTGGTTTACATTAGTACATTAGTATTACTATAATCTTTATGATACAAACTATATACAGAAAGGAAAAGGAAAGGGGGGAAGAGGGAACCGTCTCCTGACGGTGGGCGGAGGTCACTGCCAGAGTTTCGTTATCTTAGGCCAACCTCCATCGCGAGCAGCTGTTGGGTAATAGCTGCGTCCCGACATCTGCATTCCTTCAGAAAGCTCGTCCTCGAGCTTGTTTAGCTGCTGATGAATGTCTTCCGAGTAACGTGTGTAAGGAGTACACGTGATACGGCGAGACCATGAAGAACTTCGACTTTGGTACCATTATCCTCAGATTCATCGATCGAGTGGGAATTTGGTTTAGGCGAGCTGGATAACCACCAACGACCTTCACCTCATCCTGGGGGTACTGAGTAAGCTTGTCCTTAAGCTGAGAGATATAGAAAAATGAAGGATGTGGCGTTGGAGACTGTTTGGAATTGGCAGTGACATGTAGTTGCATGGGTGATAAGTCATGCTTTCGGAGACTGACGGATGGAATTACTTTTAGATGGAGATT